CAATAGGTTAATTTGTAAAAAGTTACGACTCTATGTTATTAGAGAGTTTAAAAATCGGGGCCCCAAGGAGCATGGGGACATAAGAAGCTTGCGTCCATATTGACCCAAGGCCCCAAAATCGAAAACTAGCGTGGGCTCTCAAGACGTAACAAACACGGCATATTTTACGTGGACGCCTCCGGTCCTCACCATGAGAGGTGGTACACGGCTGCATTCTTCCACCAAAATATTGCGGTGAATGGCCTCACATTCAAAGCACAGAACATAACCTATGTGTAGGAAGTCACCATTGCACTAGCTGCCGCACACCTGGACTCGCACGTCATCATTACGGACTCGACAGTATCCTGCCGATTTATTTAACGCGGTATGCCTCACACCTGGGGTACCACATCTTACAAAACAGCAATTACGTAGAGGCCCCAGCGTCCCGAGGGATCATGTGGGCTCCAGGTCACATGGGCCTCGAATGCAATGAATCGGCTTACGCTTCCGCCCGTGCTCACTCTCTGGTACCGCCTTCAGGCCCTTACGAAATGGATCTCAACCCCAATTCAGCCTTACCACTTCATGAAATTACTGAATTTTATCTATTCGGCTACTAAATTTAACCTGAACTTTGTAAGGGCCTTACAAAGGCGGGGAAGCGTTTACTCTTCCGTCCTTACACCAAAACATTGCTGTGCCCGGCAGTTTTAGGTGCGAAATTCTTTAAAACGGCACCCGTTCGTCCCTCGTCGTTGTACGTAACATGTCTTACGCTTTGACCTGCAGGGTGGTGCTGGTGGGAAATTTCTCCTTTGCGTTGTTGAACGATAAAAAACTCGCAGCGTACGTGTTACTTAAAAGCTGAATTAACCTGTCTCTCATTACCCGTTAGCAGCCATTGGCATATACCTTGAGCACTATCAGACAAGAAAGGGTTGCTACATCATACTCGCTGGGCATAACCTCCTTCGTTTTAAAAACGTTTAGCGAGTGTTGGGCCGCAGTGCCATGAATACAATGCCATTAACACGAGGTGGTTAAAGGTGGGAAGTACACACGAAGCGCAAGCCGTAAGAAAGTGTGTGTGTGCCACCTCTCGTTTAGCCCTTGGAATGTCCGCTGGATGACGGTGCTTCTATATGTAGAATATATGATGAAAAGATGCGAGATAGTGGTACTTGGAGTGTTGACTAGATGCGTGAACTGACACACAGACAGATGCATGAACGGACGCACGAAAGGCTACACGGACTGTTGGACGCATGGACGGACGCAGGGGCGGATGCATAGACGAACGCTGGCACGGACGCACGGATGGACGTGCGGACGCACGAACAGACGCACGCATGGACGAGCGGATAGACGCACGGACGGTCACAAAGACGGACGCATGGACGAACGGAGGCAAGAACGAATGAACGAACGGATGCTTCGCCCCACTCTCCATCATTCACCCCGAGAATATGCTGCCATTTTTAAATATCTTGATTCTGCCTGTTCAGGAAAATGCCGCCACTGTGCGGAGAAGTCGTGGGACATCTTCAACATGGTGTGGGCATGCTAGTCAACCCCTCCCCTCACCCCCAAATCAAACCCCACCCGAAGAACTGGGAGGCGGTCCTGCTCGGCTGCTCCGACCTGGCGAGCCAGAAGGCCCTGGTGAACCGAGCCCGAGTCGCGTTGGACGCTAATGGGCTTCTGCAGTGAGGAGCCCACCTGGTGTTTGTGAGGGGTGGCTCACACTGGGCCATTTTCCACATACTCCCTGTATATAAATAAAATAAAGTTTTTAGGGGCGAAGCTCCTTATAGCTTAGAAGTGTGGCAGCTTGGGCTAGTTAGTATGGCATGACGATAGTTATAGCGCGAAAGCAAAACGACGACACAGAGACGTGTCTTTCATGTCCTTCTTGTCTCTGTGTCGTCGTTTTGTTTTCGCGCTATAACTATCGTCTCCTTATAGCGACAACCGTTCGTCCCTCGTAGCCGTTGTAGTAAGTAACAAGTATAACGTTTTGCCTTCCAAGGTGGGGCCGGTGAGAGATTTATTCTGTGCGTGGTTGAACAATAAAAATAGTGCTCAATGTACATGCCATTGGCTGCTAAGGGGGAATGAGAGACAGGAGCATTCGGCCTTTGGTTAACGCGCATGCTGCGATCCCCATTAGCAGCCATTGGCTTGTACATTTAGCACTATCTGACAAAAAACGGTTGCTACGTTATACTCGCTGGGTGTAACCTTCTTAGTTTTGGAAAGGTTTAGCGAGCGTTGAGCCGCAGTGCCATGAATACATTGAACTAGTATATACCATGAATGAACTCAGGTGGTTAAAGGTAGGAAGTAGATACGAAGCGCAAGCTGTAAGAGAGTAAAAGCCGAATTCTGCGGTCTCTCATTTCCCATTAGCAGCCATTGACATGTACGTTGAGCACTATCTGACAGGAAAAGGTTGCCTCGTTATACTCGCTGGGCGTAACCTCCTTGGTTTTAGAAAGATTTAGCGAGCGTTGGGCCGTAGTGCCATGAATACAATGAACTAGTATGTACCATGAACTCAAGGTGGTTAAAGGTGGGAAGTAGACCCGAAGCGCAACCGTAAGAAAGTGTGCGTGTGTCACCTCTCGTTTAGTCTTTGGAATGTCCGCTGGATGGCGATGCTTGTATATGGGGAATATAAGATGAAAAGATGCGAGATGGGGGTTCTTGGAGGGTTGAATAGATGAATGAAAGGACACACAGACAGATGTATGGATGTACACATTAACGGACGCAGGGCCGGATACACGGACGCACGCAGGGACGGACGCATCAACAGACGCATACACGGACGGGTGGATGAACGCATGGACGGACGGAAGCAAGAACGATTGGACGGACGAATGCTTCGCCCCACTCTCCATCATTCATTCCGTGGATATGCTGCCATTTTTTTTTCTCTCCTGCCAAGACGTCTTAAGTCGCCAGCGAGACGAAGCAGACGCAGCGCGAGCCACGGTGCCGTATGGCCCACGTCTCACATTTTTTATTTTCATTTTCGCCCCGGGTGGCACCCTGTGCGTTTGACCGTACGCAGTCTGCGTTTGAGCCAGTTCCAGTCTGCCGCTTCTCCGAACGCAAGAGCAGCCTACGCAACGCAGCTTCGGGACCCAGTGTCTTGGGCCCCGAATTATGAAACTTCTTTTGGCTTATGAATGTTACCGTTTTAGTGAGATAGAGGACCTGCAATTCAGAATTGCGACGACCTTCTTATTCATACTCAATGAAAAAAGGAGTACGCGTGCTGGCTTACTTTGTCAGCTTAGCATAAACTGAAGTGTGAGGTACTGCTTGTTTTTCACAAAATTATAGCTTTAAATATATGAATTTGTTATAAAAACGCAGTAAAGAGCGGGGTCTTTTTATTCCAGTATATAGAATGGAATGCAGCACTTCAGTAAGATGTTAGGCTTGCTTCAAAATCTAGTGCTGGTAAGCAGATACGACACAAAGTTTTCTGTATTCTATGGATATTTTTGTACACTGATTCAAACGCAGAATAAAAGCAAAAGCAAGCATTCGGTGCGGGTTTTTAGTTAAGGCAACATTATATTGACAATTATGAGCGACAACAATTCGCATAGTATTTCGCACAATAATACGCGGACTAAGATGGCGCGCACGAGCAAATATCAACTGAGTAGCATCACATCAGCGTGATATCAGCAATGTTAGGCAATTGAGGTCACACATTGCGTTACCCTTACGCCTGCATACAACAGCCACAGCAACCTTTAAGTTGCGTGGTGGTTCATCTAGGCAGGAAGTGTTAAGAATAATTTTGTCTTTTGCGTCCAGGCAACCAACAGCACAAAACTGCAATATGAAATAAATTTTGTTCTTTGCGACAGCACAGATATAAAGTTGACTTCACTACCTGAAGCCTGACAGATGTGCTTTTTGATTGACTAGGTGGCCACATTTTTGATGGAGATGAAAATGCTTCAGGCCAGTGTGCTTAGTATGCAGTGAACGTAAATAATCCCAAGAGGTAGAAAATTTTGCAACCATCAACTACGGCATCTCTAATAATCATATATTGGTTTTGCGGCGTTATATATAAACAGTTAATATTAGTATTCTTGTTGACGGCAGGAGACATGGGAAGAATACTCGATTTTTCGTTCTTGAAGTGCGCGGTAATAATGCGGGGGGCGTTCGACGGGAACCCTAAATACGTGGTAGGCTGTTTGGCCAGGCCTCCTTCTTAGAGAGAGTAACTTTTTTGTTCGTGGAAGTTTGCTGAGTGCATAATTTTAGGCGCCCCCTGAAGTTTGCACCCCACCGCGGTGGTCTATTGGCTGAGGTACCCGGCTGCTGACCCGCAGGTCGCGAGATCGAATCCCGGCTGCGGTGGCTGCGTTTTTTATGATTGAGGCGCAAACGCTTAGACCCGTGTGCTCACATTTGGGTACACCTTAAAAAACTCCAGGTAGTCTGAATTTCCGGAGCCCTCCACTACGGCGTCTCTCATATACATATGGTATTTGTGGGACGCTATACCACACATATCATTGAATAGATCAATCAATCACTGAAGTTTATAAATGATGAAGACTTGTTGCTCATTTTGTGAGCATATACTGTGACTTAAAAAAAACGTTGCGTGTAGCGCACAAGAGCCCTATGGGAAACGTGCGCGCAGCAGATATTTTGTAATATAACCTAGTCACGCATCATCAAACCTCCCAATCCCTTTGGGCGTCTCTTTTACCTCATCGCGGTCAGGAATGACAGTATACAGAGACATCTGCTAAGCCGGCCTGTCTTCTTTTCTTTTCCATACTTATTATCTCTTTCTTCAGCTCTCTCGCAAGAAAGCGGAATAAAGTATCGGAAGGCAGCAAGGGCTCTTTCAGTTAAATCGAGTACATAGGTTCTCCTAAATTCACTTTCAACACCCGAAATTTCGTTTATTAAGGGATTTCTATTATTCGAGGCACGAAAAACTCAAAAGTTTTTATGCATTTTTCTAGGAAGAAAACAACGAGCGGGCCAAGAGTTTCCACAACCCTTACCACGATCGTTTCTTTGTCACAACACTGGGCAACGTATTCTTCCCGGCATCAAACGTGAGTGATTTTCTACGCAATGAGTTTGTGCTAGCATGATACGAAGTGCATTGAGTGTTTCATGAATTTGTGGGTGGTGTCCATTACGACGCAGCAAGTCGATGGCTCTGCTTCACAAAAGCACGTCCACAATGAACAATAAAAACGAGCCGACACGACAAATGAGCATATTTACTTGTACACTCTGGACCAACTATTGCACGCCAACTGCTTATGTCTCAACTCTGTGACTAACTGGAGTCAGCTACGCCTAATAGCTAATGAATAATAAAGCTCCCTAATGGTCATTAGAGTATCTATTGTGTACAATGTTAACAGAATATTCGTTATCAATACAGCACAGTTACCTGCATGTGCGCACAAGATGAAACACATGAGTCAAAATTCACGGACAAGAAAACGAATTAAAGCCTTATTCCCATTGTAAGTTTCTTATGATCACACCTTTAACCATTTACAAGCATTGGACACACAGTGTACATGAGTGCTACGTAAGTAAGAAAAAAAACTCGACTAAATAATTCAATAGCTTTCCATTAGGTCCACTACACAAATCGAATTGACCAAGTTGAAAATACAAATTTTTTATTATTACTTCCGAAAAAAAAACACCACTCAAGAAACTTCAAAAGAACGCAACGATCGAACAAAAAGCGTCGCTATTTTTTTTTAACTGCCAAAATAAGAAGATGTATGCAGCTAAAAGTTGAGCGGGCTATTGAAGCTTGAGAAAACTGCAGTATTGTCAACTTTCTCGAATACAATTCATTCTTTGACCCTGCACAGCTTGGATTCCGGAAGTCTTTTTCGTGTGAAAACCAGTTGCATTTGTTTACTCGCAAACTTCACTCTTTTCTTGACAATCGTTCATTTGCCGATAGCATTTATTTCGATTTTGCTAAAGCATTCCACAAAGTTCCACACGTGTTACTCCGATTCAAGCTAAGAAATATTGATCTCAATACTAGCATAATAAATTGGTTTGAGTGTTTCCTAGTACATCGCCAGCAATATGTCACAGCTAATGACACCAATTCATCTCTAACGCCGGTTATATCAGGTGTACCCCAGGGCACCGTCCTTGGGCCACTACTTTTTCTTATCTACATCAATGATCTGCCCAAATGTATCTCATCTTGAATACATTTATTTGCTGACGATTGTTTAATTTTTCGGTAAAGTAATATTGATAGTGACATACACACACTCCAATCTGACATTAATGTGACATCCCATTGGTGCAATACAAGGTAGATGGTTCTCAACACTACAAAATGCAAATCAATGCGAGTTTCTCGCATCACTACTAACGCACACTCGTATTACCTTGATGGTAACTTTCTTGAATCGGTTACTTCTTATAACTACTTGGGCATTCATATCACTACTGGCCTACCTTGGAATCTTCACATTGAAAGCATCACCAACAAAGCCAAACGCATGCTTGGCTACATAAGACGAAATTTTCATTCCGCTCCTTCTTCAATAAAACTCCTCCTTTTCAAATTTCTTGTACGTTCCAACTCGACTATGCATCACCGATATGAGATTCATGTACTGAAATTCTTAGTCATCAACTCGAAACTATTCAAAACAACGACACACGTTTCATTTTTTCTAACTATTGGTGAGCAGCCAGCGTATACGGAATGAAAAGTAACTTGGGTCTAACATTTCTGACGTCCCGTCGCAAAAATGCACGGTTGTGCTTATTCGACAAAGTATTCTCACACAATATGCTTCGCCATGCTTTACTTACTTTACCTTCATACATATCCCCGCGTTTAGATCATGTTCACAAAGTTGGCGTTCCCTCTTGCAACACTAAGGCCTTTTTTCATACCTTCATTCCCCATACCTCTAACGACTGGAAACACCTTCCTTCTAACATTGCTACAATTTGCAACCCAGATGTGTTTCGTACCACTGTGTCTAATATTAAATTTTAGGATATTTGATCCTGTATAACGTTGCATTGATATCTGTGAAATTCACTCGTCCAATCTATGTATATTTTTTTGAATGCCAAAAAATTGTCACCTATGCTAACCTGAGCCACATTTACTTCGTCGCAAGAGGAACATTACGACCTTTCTGAACCGTATAACTTGTCTTGTAGAGGTTATAGCTACTTCTGTTCTGCTGTTTGTACTGCAGTTTCCTGACTTGTTGTAATGTATTCACCCACTCCCCTCTTCAATGAAATTGCCTTGAGGGTATTCAAAATAAAAAAACAAAAAAATGGTAATTAAGTTCACTCACACATAGTGTTTCGCATTTATATGTCAGTTTTATTTAAAAGCTATTGATAAAGTGACACATTGAGCATGGTAGTCACTGCTGTATTAAAACCTGTCGTGAGAAAATACTTCTAAGGTTCTGTTTGCTGCTACGTGCGAGCTTGCCACAATTAACTTCGTTATTTTCTTTCTGTTAGGAATATTCGTAATGATACTTTGATTATTCAGCAGAGCACCGTTAATGACGCCGTTACCAACATCAAGGAAAAAAACTCGAGAGGGTTGAAAAGAGAACCGCAGTGCTCGATCAAGACACACATAAGCTTGTGCTAGAACAGTCACTCATAAGTGCTGAAAAAGAAATTACCTTGCTTCGATTGAGACTGAATTGGAAGACCGCATTTGACAAAATTATATTTATTTTTTTATTTATTTAGATAATAGTGCCAGTGTAAATGCCAGACTTTGGGTAGGGGTGGGTAGTATAATGAACATAACGATACGCAGGACATACGAAAAATATTCAGCATATTACACAGCAGCATGAATAGTGCTCTTAGAATAGAAAGAGTAATGCAATGATTCACAAAGAAGCGTGATATGCACTCCATATAAATTGTGCCCTACAAATTAATATCAAAACCTGCCCGAAAACAGTGCACAGCAAGTTTCACACTAAGGCAGTGTGAATACAAGTACAGTCGAAAAATTACATCCAGGCATGTTAGTTACACGCATGCCAAATCGGTAAGGCAAACGTTTTGACTAAGATGGGCACAACAGCAACAAAACGCACTCTAAAGAAGGAAAATGGGAGTGTAGCTATCAGACAGACGGAGCAGGCAATGTACGGAGAAATAATTTCAGATTGACACTTTTGAGAACATCTGGTGGTAATTTGTTCCACTCGTTAATTGTACATGTATATGTTGGTAAGACACAGGAGCTCACTGATTCTTATAGAGTAGGAGGAGCGCCAAATTGGTTCCTTGTAATTAGTTTTTCAGCTTTTTATTATAGATGAGTGAGAGCAGCTTCATTTTTTCGTGGTAACGTCATCATTGCAGAGTTTCGCGATTAGCGTTTTCCCATACAGATGTTGGAGATGTGTCGTGTCGGTAAGCTTCAAGCACAAACCATACAGCTTTTAACTATATTCATTCAAGTTTATTTATCTTAGCTTGCGTGTGGGGATGCCATACAGACGACGCGTATTCTACTAATGACATTAGGTATGTTTTACATGCGAGCAGCTTAGTCTGAAGGGTGATTTAAGTAATGTACGTCATAAGTAACCTAGTTTTTTCAAAGTATTTTTTACATCTAAGCTATATATGATCGTTTCATACTAAATGAGATGTGATTACAAGGCCAAGGTACAAACATTTCAAAAGGAACGACAAAGAGTAATTCCGTAGCTTTTAATGAAGTTTTAAAGGAACATTTCGGCTGGTTGTGGTCACCGCAAGAGATTTTTGGGGTTTATAGTCATTTGCCATTTCGTGCACCAGTCTTTAATTTCAGATAAAGGATGATTTAAAAGAAGCTGGTCAGTAGAGTCACTCAATTCTTGATAAAGCACTCAGTCATCTGCGAAAAGATTAATGTTACCTGGTATCTCTCTTGCAATATCATTTACAAAAACCGAAAAGAAATGACACCCCAGGACAGAGCGCTTCGATATGCTGGATGGAACTGGCGTGGACAGCGAGCTGGTTTCACCGAACTTGACGCACTGGTACTTGCAGCTCAAGTACGCTTCGATCCAGACCGAAAAAAAAAACAGTCATTATTGTGAATTTGCTGGAATATAAATAGTAGCTTACGGTCTGACACACAAATGCTTTTTCAAAATCTAGAAATTATATATCATTTTGGTTTTGTTTGTTCAAACCAAAGGCAAGGTCATGTAGCGTTTTAAACAGCTGTGTTACCGTCGCACGTTGGAGGCCATTCTAACGACTGTGTATTATGCTGTAGCTTTCAATAAACACGGAAAAGTGCTTGAACATTATGTTTTTCAGAATTTAAATCTTGCGCATAACAGTAATATTGGTCTTTATGCAGAAGGGTTAGAATGGTTTATCTTTTTTGGCATGAAAGTTATTTTGGCATAATGCCAATCTTGAGGAAGTTCTTCTCGAGATAGCGATTCCCGAAATATTAGGTTTAGGTTCACAAAACATCATTCTGCTCAGCGAAGCAGAAACGCAAGGGTATGTTGTCGATCCCATTCGTTTTTCACAGCGAAAGCTGTTATGAGGTAACAACTCGGGCTACGCGCAATTGTCCGTCACCACCGCCCCGCCACCGGTGTCCTTATAAAAAACAAACCTAGCACCAATGACACAGTGGGGCTCGAACCTGGGTCCGCTAGGGCAAGCCCAGTATTCTACCACTGAGCTACGCCGGTGCTTGTTACTTGCGGTGAACGTGTCCTAAAGGGAGACTTGATGTCCAGAGAGCAATCGCGTTAACACGATGTATAACCATTTTTAAACAGCAAAATAACAACCACTCATCAAATTATGTGAATAGGGTACCGAGTGGACCATGCAATGCTCAAAACCATTACAAAAGCTTATTCTTGTTCCACTATTTGTCTGGCACGTACCCAATTCATCCATAACTTCTCATCGTCGTCATGCACTGCATGAACAATTGGCACAAAATTTCTTGCAAGTATTTAGCGCATACTACCCTTCTCAGAAAAATAAGCACAGCGAATGCAAACCTACCACCCCGAAACTTTTTGATTAT